CCTGTGCCCTGCTGGCCACACTTCTGAATGCACCCCAGGAGGCCAGTGGCTGCTTCAAGAGGGCCCATTCCTGGCTCATGGTGATCTTGTCTATCAGGACTTCCAGGTCCTTCTCAGCAGAGCTGCTTTGCAGCAGGTCACCCCTCACCTGTCCTGGGGCAGGGGGTCATTCCTCCCTGGAAAGACCTCTCTAACTAGTGCAGTCTTGTTTTCACTGAGCTGATCCAAACCACTTTGGTTCAGATGATGTGAAGTGAGGGGAGTGGTGACTGCAGAGAGGGTGGAAGCTGGTCAGGCCAAAAAATGCTGCCTGATGATTGCAGTCATCATAACAGCAGGGGGAGAGAGGTGAAGCTGCCCCTGACTCAGCTCTTTAAAGGTTTTCCATGTTTTTAAACCCAAAATCTGAAACAGATGAAGCTGTTGTCATTCACTAATTTAACAGATCTAAGATTTCTCTGCAGATTCTTCTGAATAAGTCAATTCAAGAAATTATGTGATTCATTTTGGTTTAGATATATGATCTCCCACAGCTTCTGCCTCCTCCTTGGAAGATCTCACTTGTTAAGGACTAGGAACAGCACTGAACTGGTGCTGTCCTGGGTCCAGCTGCTTGGATGCTGCCCTTTTAAGACAGTTTCTTTTGCTGCAACTCTCCAAAAGCTTTAGCAGGGGGTAGTCTGGGAGCACAGCTCACCTGATGGAGCCACGGGGGGGCTGCTGAAGGAGCCAGTGGCCCAGGGTGCAGGGCAGGGTGGCTGCTTATTTGACTGAGTTTGACTTGCCAGCACGTTAAGCATGCCTGAAATTACATTAGGCAACGATTGTGCCTGTACCCATCACCTCACTGGTCTGTGAACATTTTGGAAAGGTTTTAAAAACCCATGGATTTATAGATTTGTCCCCAAATGGCATTTGGGACATGTCCTTTTTTCCTCCTTCTAGATGTTCCTTGCTGTATGCACTGTGCAGGCTGGAGCAGCCAGGGGGGGGCTGGTTGATCCCCCTCTCCAGTTGTCCCAAAAGCATAACAAGGAGAGGGCTGCATTGTAAATGATTGCTGGGGCAGGGGCAAGACTTGTTTGAATCATTAATCATCTTTAAATCTTATGACTGATGGGGAGGAAGAGGCAGGGGAGAGATGACAGCAACTGTGAGGCTCAGTCAGGAAATTCTAGGAGCCACTTTTGCAGAGAGAGGTCTTGGAATGGGCACGTGCTGTGGAGTCTGGAGGAAACACTGGGAGCTAGAAACTTCTGAAAGCTTTGCCTCGTGTCCACACTGATTTTGACTTCCATCAGCCTTTCAAAAGGCTCTGCTAACCCTGAGGGGGGGGAGAACACTAGTGATGGCAGTGGCCACCCTTCCTCTCAGTGGGACTGGGCTGTGCAGGCTGGCAGGCAGTCTGCAGAGGTGCTGCTGCTCTGCAGAGCTCACTTGTATCATGGTCCACAGCACAGATCAAGAGGGGGCAGGGAGCTTTTATTGGCCCACTTCCCACAGCCCCACTGCCCTCAGCATCCTCACATCTCCCCTTTAACCTTCGGTCCCACTCCCTGTCATTTGTTCCTGATAGAAGGAATTAATAAAGAAAAGCAATTTTAGTTTCCTGAATCCATGAAACAAGTAGAAAAAGAGGCTTGTGTCTTTCCCTTCCTTGTTTGTGCAGCTGGAATTAGCTTCTCCCTGCAGAATAGACATCCATCCCCCCAGAGGTTTCCGTGGGTTCTTGCTGCTGTGTCTCACTCAGGGGGAATTTGCATCGTGACCTTTCTGCTCTCCTTCCCAGGAAGCTCCCCTGCCTGCTTCAGCTTTGCAGTGTTGTTTCTACAGCCCCAAGCCATCATTAGCAGCCTTCCCAGCACCCGTGGAGCCCTTGGCTCTGTTAGGACTGGAGAGTTTTTATGGCACGTAATTTGCATCCTTGTCCAAAGCAGGTTTTGGGAGCAGAATTTGTTCCCTGTGACCTTGGGAGAGGCACTGAGCTGGGTTTCTCAGCAGGTACAGGTGACTTATATCCCTTCCCACCTGTAAACATCTTCTCTGTGACCTTTTCAGCATGAATTTCAGCTCCCAAGATCTAGATGTTTATGCCAAGTCGTGATTCATCTTGCCAGGCTGTCCCCAGGCCTCTCTTTCCAGCACTTTCCATGGGTGGCACTGGGTGCTTTGCTGCTGCTTAGAAGGAACAAGCAACAGGACAAGAGGAACCAGGCCAAAGTTGCCCTAGGGGAGGTTGAGGTTGGCCCTGAGGAACCATTTCTTGCCCTGGAGGGTTGCCCAGGGCTGTGCCAGGCTGCCCAGGGCAGTGGTGGAGTCCCCACCCCTGGAGGGGTTTCCAAGCCATGGAGATGTGGTGTGGGGGACATGGGTTAGGGTTGGGCTTGGCATTTTTAGGTTAATGATTGGAGATGATGATCTTAAATGTCTTCTCCAGCTAAAATGATGCTATGAATCTCCTCTCTTCCCTCTGTCCTGTGGCTGTTCAGCTGAGTTCACATTTCCTTTCTTCATGCACTGTAGATGTTCAGCTTTGACCATATCAAGGCAACTGGTGTTTTTAATTACAAGCATATTTTGCATAGGAAAATCAAAGGCTAAAAAAAATCTTATTTCACTCCAGTTAATTAGTTTTTCCATCTACTTGTCTCGCTTGACTGGAACTGAAGAGACTAAAATTAGCAAAATTTGTGGCTAAATCCTTCCATCAGTTGTTTGCTACCTGTTTAGTATTGTAGGTTCTCTCTGAATCTGATTTTATGCCTTACTCTGTCATGTTTAGTTTTCTGTTCACCATTAACACCACTCAAATTTAAACTAGATGTCATTAAAACTCTATTTTCCTGCCTTATGCTGCTATGGGGAGAGGGAACCTTAGTTCCTAAAATGCAGTCTCCTACTATCTTGGGTAGATTTTAGCACTAGTACTCTGCAAAAAAAACCCTCCTACATTTGCTCTGTGGTGTTCAGCAGTGAAATAGTCCCTGTGGGCTCCCTGGCCTGTGATGTCTGGCAAGGGGACACATCCCAGGAGATGGAAATGACTCTCCTCAGTTCCTGTCTCAGCTGCCACTGCTGTGCCACCAGCAGCTTGTGTCTCCCCTTCTGGGCTCTCACATTCCTTGCTCAGTTGACTGTGCAAGATTTGGGTTGTAGAAATCCTCCTGGGCCTTTCTGGAACGTTTTCTGTTTTCCTTGGCCTGCCTTTGAATGGGTTGAGACTTGTGGTTCACTTCTCTTAGGACAGCAATGGTTCTACCCACCATTTTCCAGTTACAATGGTGTTTCTCAGCATATCTTGATCTAACAACCTCCTAGATTTGAAAAAGAGAATGGACAAGCCACTGTGTGCACTCTTTCTCCATGGAATACTATGTTTTAGTACGTGGCTGTACTCCTCCAGCTTATTGAGAGGGTTTTTTTTCCTCCTGTTCTGTTTGCAAGCCTCAAAATGTGTTAATTTATTCTGGTTTGGGTACTGGGAAGCTGCAGCCATTTCACAGAATGCTTTTGGTGCTGAGTGGGGTATTGGTTGAGACTACCAGAGGCAGCTTTCTGGAGGAAGCCCCTCCTATTCTGTATCAGCAGTCATTTTCTGGGGGATGAAGACAAATTAACTCATTTTCCATGTGCTAAGTGAGGTTTCAGCCAGTGGGAACACAGGGCTGATTTTCAGCACACTGTTTTACCTGGGTATATCCTCCATATCCTGCCCCTCGTGGGCAAAGCAAATAAAGAGCTCCCATGTTTCAATTAAGACCTTTTTTTTTCCTAAAATTTCTTCAAAGCTGAAATCTTCTGTTCTCATTCTCCCTGCAAATGCCCTTAACTGTTGTTTGGGGAGCATCCAATTAACAACTTGCCTGGGCAGTGTGGCAGCTTTCCTAATGAGGCTGTTTTCACCCCTTCCAGGAGGCAGCAAACATGCTCCGGCTCATGCAGAACAGGCTGAAGGAGGAGGAGCAGCACCTGCTTTACAATGGAAGTAAGTGGCATTTCTTCCCTGCCTCTTTTAGCAGAGAAATGAAGCACTGGCTGCTTGAGGGGTGAGCATCCACTTAAAACCTGAAGCTGAGGGGACGTGGGGTAGGTGACAGAGTCAACAGGCTGCGTTAGAAGTGGCATGAAAACTTCAACAGGACAAGAGTGAAATAAGGAACCTGACCTCTGAAGTGCTCCTCTGCCTTGTCACTTCTACCTGAAGTGCTGAGGGATGAGCCCAGTCACCTACTAACCACACTGAGCAGATTTTCATAGATTCATGGGCTAGTTTGGGTGGGAAAGGGCCTTTAAAGCTCATCTAGTCCAACCCCCTGCACTGAGCAGGGACATCTGCAACTGAAGCAGGTAGCTCAGAGCCACATCCAACCTGACCTGGAATGGTTCCAGGGATGATTTTGGACTTCTTTTTACTATTTTCAAAGTCCAGTGCAGTTAGCCTGCCACACCTCATGGCCTGGAGTTTGGTTAGCTGGTCTTTGGGATGTGTCCATCACATCATAACTTTCACAGATGAAAACCCTCAGCTTGAAATCCTCTCTAATATCCCTGATCTTCAGAGCAGGATCCACATTTGCTTCCTTGCTTTTTGCTTGATTTTAGTGTACCTGCAAAATGCAAATGCAATTAAAATTCCTGTGTTGGTTTTTTTTCCTTTTCTTTTTTAAACTTACTCTGAATTAATTAGAATTCTAGCTGGGGTTCAGAAGGGCATGAAAACCTCTGGAGATTTTGTGGAAAGCTAACAAACCAGACTTTGCTCCTTTTGAGCCAAGCATCAGCAAGAACTTACTCATTAATTACCTCTGTGAATTTAATGGTGCAATATGTGCATTTTTATATGGTAGTGGGAGGAAATAGAAGGGATGTTAACTCTCAGGATCAGAGGGAGAGTCCATGAAAGCTGAAATGGAGTAAGGACATCAAAGTTGGGCTTCAAGGTTTGTTTGCTGGCAGAGATTTTTCAGAGCAAGCTCATGAAGGAGGGAGTTCACTCATTTCTGCCCATCTTTGATCTCATCTTCTTATGTCAATGCAATAAAAAGTGAAGAAGTTTTAGCTGAAACATAGGACTTGTAACACAAATCACCAGAATGTGGAACTGTTTCAAGGATTTACTTGAGTGAAAAAACCCACGTCCTGCCATCTGACAGTTTCCAGGGCAAATAAGTTCAAGAGCAGAGGAACATCAATCATCACTAATTAGCAGCATGAAGTCTAACGTGAAAATTTGCTGATCTGTTTTCTCCTCCTCTGTGGAAAACTGTTCAGTCATTTTGCACCTCTGAAACAACATGAACTTTGTCTTTTAGTGAGGGATTGAACTGCCACCTAACATATGATTAGGACTTTTAATGATCTAAAAATACTACCAGGATACATCTTTATTCAAGCACTTAATTGGCATAATTAGTATTTATTCTAGGGTTAAGAGCACCAGGATCTTGTTGTTTGGTGCTGGCTCATTTCTTGACTGTCCCATAACCCTGGAAAATGAAGTCAGCATTGTCAGCTCCAGTCTGCCTTTACCTGCCCACAGCCTGCAGAGTTGCAGAGGTGGAACTGAGGCAAAAATTTGGCTCTCAGACTGTTTCATAGAATCATTTAGGGTGGAAAAGAGCTTCCAAATCATCAAGTCCAACCATTAACCCAGCACTGCCTGGGAACTGCTAACCCATGTCCCTCACACCACATCTCCAGGGCTTGGAAACCCCTCCAGGGGTGGGGACTCCACCACTGCCCTGGGCAGCCTGGCACAGCCCTGGGCAACCCTCCAGGGCAAGAAATTGTTCCTCAGGGGCAACTGAAACCTCCCCTGGGGCAGCTTGAGGCTGTTTCCTCTTGTCCTGTCCCTTGTTCCCTGGGAGCAGAGCCCGACCCCCCCCTGGCTCCAGGCTCCTGTCAGGAGCTGTGCAGAGCCAGAAGGTCTCCCCTGAGCCTCCTTTGCTCCAGGCTCAGCACCCCCAGCTCCCTCAGCTGCTCCTCCCCACACTTGGGCTCTAGACCCTTCCCCAGCTTCCTTGCCCTTCTTTGTTTCCCCACTCAGGCTTCCTTCCTGCCTGCTGGGCACTTCATTTATTGAATGTTTTAAAGCCCCCTGAGGCCATGCTTAGCTAACACAGAACACTCAGGTACCAGGCTGTGCCTTCCCCTCTGACCAGACCCCACTCTTCTCCTCTCATTATTACTTAAATAAAGTGCAACTGCATCCCAAGAGCTTTGCTTTGGTTAGAGATTGCAGAGGTTGGTGTCTTAAATGGCACAGTGCCCTCTTAGGGATGTGCTTACAGAATGATTCTGTTAACCCTAGGATCTTAGGCAGAATTAAAATAAGGGTTTTTTTTTTTTGCACAAGAGCAAACAAAGCAGCAGCAGAAGTGGTGCAGCATCACTGAGCAGCTTTGCCTGCCCAAAGGTGAACAGTGCAATTCCCAGCAGCAAGAGGAGGGCTGGAGGTTCTGCCCTGGAGGATTCCCAGGAGCCCTACAGCCCTTGGTCTAATGCTTTGAGATTGCATCAGGGAGTGCTGGAGCACTGTGTGCTAGGGGGAAATGGTGTAAAGTGCTGCTGCTGTGAGCACTTAAACCTTCTTCAGCCTTCCTCTGGAGGTTCTGCATCCTACATCCCCCTCCTGAGGCAGGACGTGCCCTGTTCATGAGAAGGAATCACAAGATTGAAGAAGGGCTTTTCTTCCCCACCAGAAACAGGGGAGTGCCTTTATCCTAAGATTTCTGTCACTGTCACTTTGTCAAAAAATGTTGGATTTTGTTGCCTGGGCCTCCAACCCAACAACTCCATTGTGGCTGCTTGCAGGAAAGATGAAGTAAACCCTGCTTGACTTGGTGTTGCTCATGGAATGGAGGCTGGAGACAGAGGGATCAGCTTCTGCCCCTCTCAGCTCAGCTCAGCAGAAGGTGGCCAGGCTAACCTGGTGTCTCCCAGTATCCTGAGACCCTCTGGCTGGATCTGGAAGGTCTGGGGTGGTGCAGTGTGATTCCTCTGAGCAGGTTCATCTCTTCCCTACGCTGAGGGGTAGCCCAGGGCCAGCACCTCCTGCAAGGAGAAGGGAAGGTTCTCCACCTTCCATTACACTTTGCCCCTGAGAGCTGCAAAACACTTAATGAGGCTCTTCTAATAAATAGCACAGGACTGTGGTGATAAATCTGTTACCATTAGCTGATAAAAGTCAGCAGCCTTGTGCCCCTGCAAGCCCTCTTCCCTTTGCCTGCCTCTGTAATCAATGCAGCTCCCTTATTGTCTGCATCCTGTGACCTTATCTCCTGCTAATTTGGTAAGAAGGCTTGTTGTAAATGAACAGTTCATTTCTCTGCAGCAGGAGTGGAATTCTGCACAGCTCTCCTACCACCAGAGGAACCTAAACCCTGTCTCCTGTCCCACAGAGCTGTGGCGTGGGGGTTGAATTGTGCAATGCTTTTTATATTAATATAGAAATCTTGTGGCTAAATCATGGTACTCACATCAAATTTGCAGAAGTGTTTGGTGTGAGTCAGAAACAGCTTGGTTCTTTTTTTTTTCTTTTGCTAGCACATGCTGCAAATGATCTTTTCTTTCTGACAGAGCCTCTCCACAGAACCACTGCCCTAATAAAAACCAAAAGCTAATGCCAAGTGACACGAGAAACTGAAATTATGTAAAGATGTTGAACTCTGGATACAGATCAGGCTTTGAATATTATTTGCATGATGAAAATATGTGCAATTAAGTGTTTGCAGCAGTACAGAAATGTCTTTTGTGATGGGCAGTGAGTAAATTGCTGTTATTTTTGCCATCTTTATTTCACATAAAATGCTTTTAGAGAAACAAATAGAGAACGTGGTGGGTTTCACAGCACCTGCTGCCCTTGTGCCACATCCAAAGCTGGTGCAAAGGCAAAAATGCCAATTGATTGGAACTCGAGCCTTGGTTTCCTTGTGGCTCATGGCACAGTGACTCTTAAAACTTTATATGAGGTGCTGCTGGGATGAAGGTTGTTGATAAAACTCCTGTCAGGTGTAGAGCTGTGCAGAGTTGCTCTGAGAATGGTTTGATGGGGGACGAGAGGGTTACACAGGTCACTGACCCCAGCAGAGGTTCAAGGTGACTTTTCAGGTTCATCCAAGGTTGAAAACACAGATGTGCTGAGCAAAAAGGAACAAGTGGAGATGTTTCTAGACCGAAATATGTGGTTTTTTTCAGTCTGAGCACCTGATTACGTGTACAGATCTTTTCTCTCATCTTTTTCCACGCTTTTTCATGTGTGTTTTCTCACTTTCTTTTTAAGCTTTGTCAGTTTAAAAGTGAACTATCTAAATGATAGTTAAAAAAAGAAGAAAACATTTTGTTTTGACAGTATGAAAACAAACCCTTTGAATCTTTCAAACCATTTCCTGTTATTTCCTTTGGGTAACGCTGTGCCTGGGATTCCATTTCAGTTTCCAAAAGGCATTTGCTGCAAACCCCCCATTTCTCATGGCCTGGAGCACTGCCTGGTGTGTGGCACCACCCTGCATGCTCCTGGATGCTGCAGAAGGAATAAACATCCCCATCACACAGCACCCAGAAACCTCCCCTGCTGCAGGAGTGCTCAGCAAGAGGATTAACTGATGCTCCTGGAGAGCTTCAGTTCTGCTCAACACACAACCTGAAAGGGTTTCCTTGGCCAGCTCTGTCTGCCAAGCTCTCTCTTTTCTGACAGCCAAGTAAAATGTGCTGAGCTCTGTCATCCTGCTCAATTAAACCCAGCACAGATGTTGGGCTTTGGAGAGCAAATCACACGATGCTGGTGCAGTCTGGTTCTGCACTGGATCTCTTGTACCTGTTCTCCTCCAGAACTGATGCTTTAAAACCTGACAGCAAAACCAAGCAGCTCCATTGCAACCACTGGAGCATTTGAAGTGTAGCAGGGAGTCTCTGGGTAATTCCCACAAGGATGAGATGCCTGGAAAATATTGCTAATGCTCAGCACTGTCACCAGCAGGATCCTCAGACCATCCATCTTCTTGTAACAGAGGCTTGGAACTTGTCCACAAAGAGTCTTGTGTTTTGCTTGTTAAATAATTGCAAATTCATGTTGGAATTTAATAGTACTTTGATGGATTCTTGGCTTTTAAGATCATTAGAAATAGTTATGGTCAGCAAATATGACCTCTCTATAAAATGGGCCAAAAAATAACTTAGCTGCTTATTGCTGTGCCAAGGCTCCAAATCCCCATTTAAATGGAGCTTATCATCGAGAGATCTTTTTAATTATTTCAAGTGACAGAGACCTATTGCTTCCCTGGGCAGTGGTTAATCATCCTTACTGGGAGAAATGGGAGTTTGGATGCTGCAGCACTCTGCAGCCAGCTGGTTGGGGTTTGTTGGGATGTCCTTGCCTGGTTTTAGTGCCTGCAGATCTGAACAGCCAAGCTTTGTGCTGAAGGCAGAGCCACGAGCCTCTGGACCTTGGTCAGGAGCTCTTGATACCAGGATGACTTTTTCTTTGAGATCAGATGAAAGATCTCAGGTTTGTGCTGAGGACAAAGGATGTTCCCTACTGAAATTTATATCTCAAAGCATTTCTGTTCATAATGCAGAGCTGAGAATATCTAGGTGTGGAGTTTTTTTTGAGTTTGGGGAGACAAGGGCATGAATTGGGTAGAACCAAGTGGCAAATTCCCTTGGATCACATCCAAAATCCCAATCCAACCCCCCCCCTCCTTTTTTTTTTTTCCCCTATTCTAAAAATTCACACTATTTAATAAATAGATTTTCTCTTGGATCAAGCTGGCTCTCAGTTAACCAGCTGATTTTTCTCATGAGGATTTTTCACCCAAATCAGCATCCTGCTGAATCCAGTCATTGCTGTGCAGCCAGTGCATTGGTTTTAAAAGCAGTGATTTTTTTTTATTATGAAATCAAACATGCTAAACTCCACTTCTATCTAACTCTAAAGCATGTAATAAACAATGTCCCTTGTGCTCATTCTCTTCACTGCAGAACCTTCTTATTTTGCAGTTGGCTATGTTTACTTTAACATTTATGCAAACTAACAAATCTGTAATGAAACCAGTTATTCAATCATGCTGGTTTTCCTTCAAGCATTGCAAATTACCTCCAATTAAATAATTTAAAGATAATATTATTGGTCCAGGTACCTGCCCTGGCTTTTTCTGGAGGTTGTGCTTTGGAACAAACAAGACTTCTGAGAGCAGTTTTTCAGCTGTAACCACAATATCCTTTTTGTGGCTGTGCTGGTTTAAATGCTACTCATTCAGTTGATCTTTATGAAATGGAAATGTTGCCATGTGAGGCAAGTGGAGTTTAAAATTCCCAGTCCATTCTCTTTCAGGTAGGCTGGAATTTTTCCAATATTCTCCGTGCAGAAAATCACAGCAGTGGGGAAATGAGCCCAACACAGTTTAGAGACTTGTTCTGTGGTTACCTTTTCATTGTAAAAATAAGGAGCCTGGTAAAACACCAGCCTTAAGCTCCAGTCAGCTGCTAGCATTGGCCTGAATTGGGGCACGTGGGCTGCTGAACAGCAGCTTATTGTGAAAAGTCAACTAATCTTCACATAAACCCATGCAAATCTCATAAGCCAGCTACATTAGAACATGTTCTGGACTCTGTGTACTTGTACGTGGGAATTTGTGGTAGTTTCCTTTGTGATCTTCACTGCTGTGTGCTGATCCTAGGAAAAAAGAGATTTTTCTTCAGAAAGAATGTTCCTTGTCACCCCAGAACTGATGCACTGTCATTTCTGCTGTGCAGTGTTGGGCAGATGTGGTTGGGACTTCTCCCAGGGCAACAAGTAGGGTTTTTTCTCTATGTTGTTAAATGAATCAGAACCTTTTTAGGAATATCAAGAATATTTTGTTTAAAACTGGCCACACTTTATGTCCAGTGAGGGATGGAGGATGGTGGAATGCTGGAGTGCTCTGGGTAGGATGAGTCGTAGGGTAGATTGAAAGAATAAGGTTTATTTTGAAGTCACAACCCAAAAGGAAGAGTGCTGGGCTCATACACTGATAATTCACCTGATGAATCTTCTCTTCATTTGTATTAAAAAGCAATCCAGGATTTTAAAGGTGTCAGTTGCTGCTGACTTGGCTTTTCAAGTGTGCTTTGAAAGATGAGAGGTGGAGCTGGGGTCAAGACACACTTTTCTGGGGCTTGCCAGCAAGATTCTGTGGCATCCACGTGTGGGCTGGCAGCAGAAAACTGCCACTTCATCCCCCACAGGCAAGAGTTACAACATCTGAGTTACTGGTGGAGAGGGATAAAAGAGATGGTGTGAGGAGGAGGGGAATGAGAATAGCAGAGGACCTGAGGGAAAGAAGAAAAGGGAGGGCTGAGTGAGAGGGAAATAAGCTGCATTCAAACCATTTCCTTCCATAAAGCAGCAGCTTGGAGCCCTCCAGCCACTGACCCTCTCTCCACAGTAGGCATCACTCCTCCTGCACGTCACTTATTCACTGTAGGATCTTCCTTCAAGTTCCATTTTCCAACAGAAAGGTACTGTGGGGAATTATGTGATGAAATGAGCTTCCTTTGTGCCTGCAGAAATGGGTCTGGAGTGGCCAGGAGGCCACTGCAGGGAGCTGGGAGGGTCCACATGGCTCAGGAGAGCTTGAAGCCATCAGCCTGGGTAGCCAGGGAAGAACAGGGCTGTGGACAGCAGAAGGCAGGTAGCAGACTCATTCCTGTCTTCCCTTGGGACAAAGGAATGATAAGAAATACATTTTACATGTTATAGCTGAGAGTCTGTTCTCACAAAAGGAGCTCAAAAGAAAAAGGCAAGAGGAAAAAAAACCCACAAAATAAGAATGAGAGCATTTTAGTTGCAGCAGTAGATGAGAGAGTCTCATTCTTGAACAGAGCATGAACCTGAATCCCTTATTTAGGCTCCACGTGGCTCTTCCCAAGGAATTTGCCTGGGTGAGGGCTGAACAAAAACTTTCTGAATGCCAGGGGAACAGAAACAGTGTTTGGGTCAACAGCAGTGAGGGATTCCTTCCCTGGGCAGAGAACAACATGCAACAGTAATAGAAATTGCAGCTAACGTTGCTGGAGCTCTGTCATCTTACCAGGGTATCAAATATATCCCTTGCTGTTATATTTTGTCATTAATTTAATATTGCCATGAAAAAGATTAGGGAAAAAAAGTCTAATATTTGTATATTTTCCGTTAATTAAATATTGCAAAGATGTGTCAGCTCATTACTAATTGTAATTAAAGAAGGGATTTCCATTTTCAGCTCAGACATGTGTGTAATTAAATGTACCTGGGAAAGAATTGCCTATTTTCTCTAAATAATGAACAGCTATTGTTGCTGCAGTGGGTGCTGGCCTCACGTGGGGTCCTGTTGGGTTTGTCAGGGCGTGGCTGGTTCCATCAGCTCCTGCAGGCAGAGCCACCAGCAGCATCCACAGGGTGATAGGAGCTGAGGATCTGGCTCAGGGATGGAATTTTACCAAGGTAGAAGGCTCAAGAGATGCATTAATAAACCCCTGCTTTCCAAATGCTTTTGAAAGGTTTTTTTTTATCTTTAAATCAGTTGCTGAAGTAGCAGCTTCTGACCGTCCCTGTGCTTCATGCCCAGGGAGTGTGGTTAGAACAGCACCTTTGGAGTACAGCCAAAAAGAACCTGTTGGAACCTCCATGAACCTGTTGAAGCAAGTCCAGAGGAGGCCACAAAAACGATCTGAGGTCTGGAACCCCTCTGCTGGGAGCCCAGCAGGAGAGAGTTGGGCTGGGGCAGCCACAGAGGAGAAGGCTCCAGCTGGGGAGACCTGCTGGGGGCTGCCAGGGGCCTGCCAGAAACCTGGGGGGGGACTTTGGAGCAGGGGCTGTTGGCACAGGACAAGGGGGGATGGTTTAAACTAAAAGAGTAAGATTCAGACTCGAGAGAAGGAAGAAATGCTTGATGTTGGGGGTGGTGAGCCCCTGGCCCAGGCTGCCCAGAGAGGTGGTCGCTGCCCCATCCCTGGAACCATCCCAGGGGAGGTTGGCCGGGGCTCTGAGCACCCTGCTCTAGTTGGGGATGTCCCTGCTGCCTGCAGGGGGTTGGACTGGATGACCTTGAAAGCTCCTTTCCCACCCAAACCAGTCCATGATTCTGTTTCTGTGAACCTGAGGATTGTCCCAAGACACTGGTGTCCATTGTGTGCTTCTTTGGCTCTTCCATAGAAGGGTGTCCTGCAGGATCTGGACATGGGCTGTTTCCATGTGCTCATCTGTAGGGCCAATACTGTGTCTGCAACTGTGTTTTTAATTAATCTAGGACTCAGATGAAGGAAGAAGCTCCTGTTCTGAGCTGTGGGCTGCACTGAGTGGTATTTATCAACTGTTTTGCTTTTAACCAGATAGTGACGAGTCCGACGTAGAGATCCGAGAGGATGAAGAACCTGGTAGTGAAGTGGAAGAGAGACAGGTCATGAAGCAACACACCGCCACAGAAACACTGCTCCAAGGTATCTTAACTTCCCTTAGATGCCCTTATTCAGAAGGATATGCTGGAATTATTTGAGTAATCTTAAATGTAAGACCCTGTTCTCAGTCAAGGACGTTGGCACTGCTCAGTTCTTGTGAGCTGTGAGAGGATGGGGTCTCTTGGAGAACACATAGTGCTTTGGGGGAGAAAATTAAGGATTTAGTTAATTAGAAAATGAAGTTCCATGGGAGGAAAATCCTTCCTTGGTATTGCCTTGTAGATTCTGAAGTGCAAAAGCCTTAGAAAAGTCAAAGCATTTCTCATTGCAGAGTATGTATTTCCCTTTAGCTGTTGACACTTGTTCTAGTGGGGTCTTCCTCTAAAGGAGACCTACAGCAAGTCCACAATTCCCCTGCAGTGACACAGACACGGGTGCAACTCACCCAATTTCTTTCTTTCAGAGAAGGACATCTGGTTTCTGCCACTGCTTATGTGGAGGAGAGCCCTGGTCAGAAGCAAGTCAGAGAAGTTACTGTCTGGGGAGGATGTGTCTGTGTTTCATTTGGGTGGGAAAAGAAACATTTTGCTTAGTTTACAGTCAAACAAAATGAAAAGAGGAGATCAAGTTAGTTCCCCTTGGCGTTCTTGTTGGCCATGAGTGATTCTGACCATCAGCAAAAATTTAGGAAATTTAGAGAGTTTAATTTAGAGAGTTTAAATTTAGAGAGTAAATTTAGAGACTAAATTGAGTGGGTCATTTCATGTGCCACTACTGCTGTGACCTGTTCTTAGATAAACTGCAAATTGGTGGGTTTTCTGAGTTGAATTCTGCTTTCCCCTCTGACTGAGACCAGAGTAAGGAGCTGAGTTCTCAAACCTATATAATTCAAGTATTTTTATCCTCAGTTACTCTGTTTGCCCCTAAACTTGAAAATTCTTGATACGTGCTAGGAACACTGATATTGGCTAAGGATTTTTACTTTGCTGTCTCTCAGGGAAAGGTTTATACACAGTTTTTAGAGCTTTGGAACTGGCTGTGTAAGTGTCTGTGATGCTTCATCTCCGAGGGCATCCTCACCTAACCATGTGTGTCCTGGATGCAGCCAGAGTCAACTTTCATACCAGTTTTAGGAGCTAAAAGCTTTATTATAGAGGTTGTAGATTTTGTTGGAAGTAGAGTTTATTCTAAGAAGAGCTTTGTTGCCATGAATTACACTCATTGGAGACTGAGCATCAGCTTGTCAGTCCAAATCCCTGAGATGTTTCCTCTGCTGTGCTGTTTAGATTGCTCTCTGTGCTTTTGAAACTCTCTTCCTAGTGTTTAGTAAACTACTCCTGGCAGGTAATTGTCCTCTGACTTCTGCACATTCTGAGCATGCCCTTTGCTGCCCACACAGTCTCCATCCCAATCTTTACCCCCCCTTATCTCTGTGGAAGTTGGAAGCCTCCCTTAGCTCTCTGTCCTCTTTTTGCCCCTCATGTGCTGAGAACTACTGCAGCAGCTCCAGGTATGGGAGATGATGGCTCTGGAGGTGCCTTTCCTACAGGTCCTCCAGGAGTTGGGTTGTGTTCCCCCACTCTGACTCACAACACTTCAGCCCTGCAGTGCTCCAGTGCAATCTCTACTGGCAGAGATGGATTCAAACATTGTGAGACTCATTGTTGGCTCATTCTTCTGCTTTGCTGGGGCTACTCATCATCACCTTGGGCAAGTCACCCTGTCCTAGCTGTAACTAGAGTAACTAGCTGGGAGATTAACAATGGACTAAATGTCCTTGGTTTAAAGCATCTACACTTTTTCTTTAGGAAAACGCAGCTTTAAATTCTCTCTCCTGCTGGTGTTAGAGCTCAGCTCACTCAGATCTGTCCACTCTTAACCTGTCCAGAACACAGGAGCAAAAGTTTAGGCTGGATCAAGGCACCAGCCAGGGCAAAGCTTTCCTTCAGGAGCTCCAGCCTCATCCAGAGTGCACACTTACATGCCAAGCAGCTTTAAGAACAGGCCCAAATCTTCACCTCTCCATCTGTGTGGTCCAGGTCCCTTGCTGACAGTGAGATTTGATGTTTGACTGCATGACCCCTCCCCAGCTAAAGTGCTGGAGACTTGTCAAGACCTGAGATTAATGTCAGGTCCATCAGCTTCTTTAGAAAATGGGGCTGAACATTTGCTGCCCACTTGTCACTAAACACACCAAGAATCTGTACACATTCTTCAACACAGGTAGTTTGTCTTTCAAATATACTTGATTATATCAATTACTGCTTTTTTTTTTCCTTGGCCCCATTTAAGACCTTTAAATCACTTTCTTTTGAAGCTTTGTGTCCTCTTATGTGATGGTGCTTCTGAACCACATTTCCTCTCCCACGAAGGAGAAATGTTCCACTGTGGTCAGTCCCTGTAGTTGCTGTGATTCCATTTTACATCTCTAATTTCCAGCTTATTAGCATTGTAAGAGAAGACTTCCTCCCTCTGTTTCTGATAGGTGGGCAAGTATTCCAGCATGCTTTGCCATTACACAGGCAAGATTCTCAGGGAGAGAGAATCTCTCTTATTAGGTGTCCTGGTTCTGTGTAAAAAGGGGTTCAGGGAAGGACCCACATGGGACAGAACTATGAATTCACCTCTCCCCCCCCTGAGAGAGAGAGAGAGAGACACTTTGGGAAAAAAAAATGAAGTATATTGTTCAACAAGGAACAGAAAACGAAAAAGGGAGGTAAGGAAAATAATATATACAAAGATTAGGGGAAAATACAAAAAATAAAATATACAAAACCCTCAGAAATGGTTCCAGGGTCCCACGGAGTGAAAGGACAACCTCCCTCTCCGAGCTCCAAGGCAGGAGTGAAATTAGAACCCACTCCCTGCCTCTTATCAGAGTGTGTGTGGGAAGGGGAGGGAATACAATGGTTCACCCCCACCCGGGGTCCTCCCAATTGCTGGAAGGTCACACCCCCATTCCAAGCCTCAAACCACAACATTAGGCCACTTGATAAAATTGAGAAAAAAAACCCAACACATCATCCTTTCATCAGTTTGTCCTCCTGGTTTTATTCTTTTAGCCAATTAAAAGACTTGAAGGCACAGGATTTAGTCTCCTGTGGAGCAGAAAAGAGTCTGAGGTGGGGGAGACAGGACAGGCTGGCAGCTCCTGTGACACAGAGAGCAAATCAAACCCTTACTCACCACATACAAAGAGCAGCAGATTAAGGAGGAACCTGTAAAACACTGTGGAGCTTTTATCTCCTTTGAGTTCAGTGCTCCTGCTGCAACCAGACAGCAAACCCAGCTTTGGAAGGCCTGGTTTGTGATCCACAATATCACAGTTACAGGTCAGTCCCCTCCTTGGTGGGGCTTATGATAATAAATCCATGTGCCACTAATCATTTCCTTTGGCTCTTACATTGATTTATTGCCTGTAACTTTTCATTTGCACATTGTCAATGCCCATAAAAATTCACATCCACTTTTATTCTATCTGGCAATAAATAATGCCTGGACTTCCCTGAGGACAAAAAAATAACTTCTCCCCCTGTGGAGGGTCTTAACCATCTGCAGAGCAGAGAAACCTCTGCCCTGCAGCAGGCCATAGACCAGTTGTTTGCAGCAGGGTGGTTGTTCACATGCAGCTGGAGGGGGCAGCAGGATGGGGAATGCAGAATGTAGAGGCCACCATGCCAGGTCAGGCACGAGGTCCATCTAGCCTGGTCTTCTCTCTCCAGCACTGGCTGAAGGCAAATGCCTGGGGAAGAGTGTAGGAACTTCCCTCAAGTTCCCTCCCACTCTCAAACTGCTTCAGCTCCCATGAGAATTTCCTGAGCTGGATGTCATTTCCACAATCCTCATTGCTTGGTATTTTTGGGGGGGTTGTTTTCTTTTTATCCCCTAAGAACTTGTCCCATCTTCCTTGAACTTGATTTTTCACCACATGTCAGCTTTTGAAGCAATGCTGTGTTGACATGTGCAGATCCACCTTTCCAGTCTCCTTCAGAGCAGAGCTCTGAAATCCATTTTGGCATCCTGAGCAAATTCAGGAGCTCTCCTCTGCCCAGTGACAGCACTGGCTGCCTGCCCAACACTGCTTGGAGCAAGGGAGGCAGTGGAGATGCTGCTGAATGAAGCAGAAATGACCCCAGAGGGGTGGGACTGTGCCTGCCTATAGCAAACCACCCTCTGCTCCACACTCCCAGGATCTTTCAGCTCCTGTAAACCCATTATCCAAGTGCTTTAGCTCTCAGGTTTCCTTCTGGAATGTTGCTGTTGAGGGACATCTTTGTCCTGTTAGGACCACAGTGACCATCTCACTACCAAGACAGTAACTTCAGCCCCATTTACTCTTTATTCTAAGAATAGAGCTTTATAAACCAGAATATTTTGCAGCAAACAATCAGATCAAGGTCAACCAGCAAGTGAGTGGCTTTCTTGGAGCCTCTCACCTTCAGAGGACCAGTGGGGTGAGGATGTGCTGGCAGGCAGGTGCTGAGTGGAGTGTACTCCCTACTGAAGGGCCAAAGTCTTTGCCTGTGAAAACCTGCACAAGAACAAAGACCACAAAGGAGGATGGGGCTGTGACACAGTGCAGGAAATCTTCTCAGGTGAGCTTACAGTCCTGTCTCCAAACCCCTCCACACAGCATGCAAGCTGAAAAGGAGCAAAGTCCTGTTCTCAGGGGAAACGGTCAGACTCCACTTGTGGAGATTCTTCCTTGAGGCCACTGGAGTTCAGATTTTTGTTGCTGAATTTCCAGAAGGTTTTCCTTCCCTCTGACCTCCTCTGGTGTGGAGGAGCCACGGGTGTGCCATCGATATGCCCAGTGGAGGGATTCAGTCAGGATGGGCACCAGCTGCCTGCTCCTTGTTGGGTATCTTATTCCCATGGAGCTCCTGAGACTCTCACCTGCCTGGGTTTTAAAGACATGTGTTAAATAAGTGGACTATTTCTTCCCTTCTCTGTGGTTCCTGAAGGAAATGACATCTTCAGGATCAAGAAACACAAGTGCACTTAACAAATACATGGTAACAAACCCAGAGGTTTTCTCCAAATGCTGCATTCTGCTCTGCTGTGGAAATGAGTTGATGAGAAGGTGCTGAAGGGCACTGCAGTTGGCTAGGCAGCATTCAAATGCTCTGTGATCCCATCCCTCATCCCTCAGCCTCATCTGCAGGGGCAGCTGCCTCTTCCTGACACGCAGCTCTGTGCAGGATGGGGTCTCCTCCTGACTGCCCCCGGGTCATTCCCTCAATCAGTCTGTTCAGAAACCCTTGAAAAACTGGGGTCAGTGTCCCCACTGCTGCAGGCTGAGGACGTGGAGTTTGTGTCAGGGAAAAACAGAAGAAAATGGTTTGTTCTGAGTCAGAGAATCGTAGAATCATTTTGGTTGGAAAAGACTTTGAAGATCAGCAAGTCAAACCATTCACCCAGCACTGCTTTAAGAAGGACATTTAAGAAGGACATTGAGGAGCTGGAGAGGGTCCAGAGAAGGGCAATGAAGCTGGGGAGGGGTCTGGGGAACATGGCTTGTGAGGAGTGGCTGAGGGACCTGGGGGTGCTGAGCCTGGAGAAGAGGAGGCTGAGGGGAGAACTTCTGGCTCTCTACAACTCCCTGCAGGAGGCTGGAGTGAGGTGGGGGTTGGGCTCTTCTCCCAGGTAACCAGTGACAGGACAAGAGGCAAGGGGAGGTTTCACTTGAGTCTTAGGAAGAATTTCTCTCCTGGCAGAGTGGTGAGGGATTGGCCCAGGCTGCCCAGGGAGGTGCTGGAGTCCCCAGCCCTGGAGGGGTTCAAAAAACATGTGGACGTGGCACTTGGGGCCATGGTTTAGTGCTCATGGGAGTGTTGGGTGATGGTTGGACATGATGATCTTGAGGCCTTTTCCAAGCTTAATGATTCTGTGATTCTGTGGGTGGAACCAGGAGATTTCCAGGGAGCAGTGCCCCCGTGCAGACAGCTCCTCTGGCTCCTGCCCCCCCAGCCACATGGCACCACAGGCATCTGCTGCTCCTGCCCCACAACTTTCCCAGTGGAAACCTGGGGGGTGCCACTGAAAGTTAAAATCCAGCTCCCAGCTTTGTCGTGGAAATCCCACCTCCTCTCTGCTCAGCCCCCCTGCACCCCGGGGTGTCTCCTGGAGGAACCCACCACCCTAGCCCAGAGAGGTGCTCCTGGCTCCAGCCTGTGTGGGGATCAGGCTCTGGGCAGGACCTGAGGCTCATCTTTTCTCCAGGTGTAAGCAGGTAGAGCCCATAGGATGTCTTTGCTCTTTCCACTGATGGAAGAGCAGCACCCTGCAGACCTCCTGTTAGCCTTCTCTAAGCTCTTCCCTTGGCATTTTTGAGCTGTCTTACTTCATCAGCTCTCCTTTTGTGACACCCTGGTTCTCTCTGATGTTCAGGAGCTCTCTCAGCTTTGTCCTCTCAGCAGATTTTAGGAGCTCTCTGCTGCTTTCTCCTTTGAGGTAACAATGTCCTACCTGACACTTTATGCTGAGCCTTTTATGTAGCAACATTGAGAACCATCTGGAGGGGCAAAAATGTTCTTCTCTGCTCACCTAATGATGCCAGTTGTAATCACCTCTGGATTTACACAGTTTAGTCCAGCACATACCAGAGCAAACATCACTAAAGCTTAACGAGGGGTCCTCTGTCTGGGAGTCCTCTAATTCCATCTCCACTGCCTGTGTTAGCAGCAGCCAGTCAGAGGACACTGTGGCTTATTTGAAGACAGAAGATCCTTTAAATGATCCCCCTTGGTGCAGCAAGGGGTGACTTCTCGGTCAAGAGAACAACTTTTTGCTACAACTAACCCAAATCAGTCTGCAAAAGGGACCTGTCTTCTTTTGGACTTTGGGAGGGGTTTGACAGGATACCTTTTAAAGTTCCTTTGTTTTAAAAAACTAAAAGAGCTTCTGTCTAGGTTGGACAAATCCATTTTGGGTGTAGAGGAGAGCAGTGAGGCCAGGGGGTGAGCAGCAGGGCTCTTTGATGGCATCTGCCTGGCCCAGAGTGACTCGTGGTGGCTGCAGAGCTGGGCTTTGAATGTCTCTGTGGATGGAGGCTCCACATCTTCTCTTGGCAGCCTTGCTCCAGTGCCTGACCACCCTCACAGGAAAAAACCCAGTGGTGTCTTGTGTTCAGGTAGAATTTCCTGTTTCTTCCTGTGCCCATTGCCTCTTGTCTTGTCAGAACTGTTGTGGCAGCACAAGGTGCCTCTGGACACACCATCCTGGAGGGAGTTCCTCTCAGCCTTACCCTCTTCTTCCTCCTCCTGGCTGCTGAGGCTTAACAAGGGAGGGGACCTTCCATGCACTGGGAGCTCATCCTCCAACTGCCCTTTGACTGATCCTCTAAAAGATGAGCCCAGAACTTGCTCTTTCCTTCTCCCTCAGCATTAACCATGAGTGGGCTTTGTGGTGATTCTCTTTCCCCTGCAGGGAGAGCTGGTGCCCGGGTCATGGGAACAATGCAAGGTGGAGACACAGAGGAAGATGTAAGTAACCAACCCACGTGCCTCTAGAGCTTCTCTGACACTGCTTTAGAATCACAGCCCCCTCCTCAGCTAGAGAAACACCTTTTGACCTGCTGGATCTTCCTACCCCAGGCCTGCTTTTCCCCTCTTCTCCTCCAGCTCTCATCTGCATAGCCACATTTTGCCCTTTTCCTTTTGCTCGTGGGGTCTCTGTGCACCACCCTGGGCTGCAGGGGTGTTTTGCTGAGCTGCTGGGGCAGATGACTGGGAAGGAGGGATCAGTGCAGTGCAGCAGGAGATGGACACGTGGATGGAAATCCCCAGCATGGCTCTAAACACACACTCCTTGGAGCCCTCCCAGTGGCTTGTCCTAAAAGTATCAGTCCTTCAGTCCTTCAGAACCATCCCAGGGGAGGTTGGATGGAGCTCTGAGCACCCTGCTCTAGTTGGGGATGTCCCTGCTCCCTGCAGGGGTTGGACTGGGTGGCCTTGAAAGGTCCCTTCCCACCCAAACCAGTCCATGATTCTGTGATGTGTGGGCAGCCTTGCTACTTGTTAGTAGCAACATCAGTACTAGAAAGCTGAAGTCAGCTGCTGGGATAGGCTTTGCACCCATACAGGAAGCTCTTCCCCACCATCTCAAAAAAGTGCTGGCATCCAAGCTCCCAGCCAGGAGCAGGAGGCCTGGCCTGGCCCCCAGCTGATGCTGCAGGGCTGCTTTGGAGAGTGCCAGTTGCTAGGGGCCAAAACTGTGCTAGGAAGATGTAGAATCACAGAATTGTTTGGGTGGGAAGAGCCCTTTAAGGTCATGGAGTCCAACTGTTCCCCCAGCACTGCCAGGGCACCACTTCCCCGTGTCCCTCACACCACATCATGGAGATGAAGTCTTTCTGAAGCAAACCTGCTGGTCAGACATCTCCTCCCCAGAGCCCAGAGCAGACAGCAGGCCCTGGGCAGCAGCAGAGCTCTGGCTCAGCTCAGGAAGCTGAGGCTGCTGGAGCCAGCACTGCTCCAGGCTCCCCAGGAGAAGGTGGAAAATGGGAGGGGAGGAGATGGGAGAAGGGATGGAGATGTTCTCCACCACAGACCAGAGCTGACACTGCAGAGCCAGCCACACAGAGCTCTGGGCAGACCCTTTCTGCAGGCAGGGCCAGGAGAGAGGTGCCACCACTGCTCTGAAGTGTTCCCTGCAGAGACCTGGAGCACTGTGCTGCTGAGGGATGAGCTGCCCTTGGCTCTGCCCATCCTCACCTCTCTGGTGAAGGGAGCTTGCAGACCATGCTCTGCTCTTTGTGCTGCCAGACCAGACGTGGTTCAGGCTGTTTGTGGCCTTCTGGGGAGTGATTTAAGCCACTGGCATTCAGAGCCCTGTCTGGGTAGGGTCAGGAGCAACACTGCTGTAGGTGGAGAAGCTGTGACCTTGGTCACAGTGCTGCCTCTTTGGGTAGTCATCCTCTGCAGTTTCTCTTCCCTTTGGGCTTCTCAACTTTCTCCCAGGTCTCCCTCTTGGCCCCAGCACAGCCAGGAGTGGAAAGCCAAGGTCTCCAGCCTCCTGTTGTCCTCAACAGCAGCCACTCTGCTGTCCCGTGGCTCTGCCCTCTCAGTACAGCATCTCAGCAGGCACCAGGGCTGGGAGGGTTGCTCAGGGACTCTTACAGACATTTATGTGTCTTGAGATCAGGGAAGGAAACCAGTGAGGCCAGTTTGAACCCCTCAAAGGGTTATGGAGTTGAGAGCAAGCTTCAGCCTTCCCACGAGCTGCATGCCCACCCTCTCCCACTTGCTGCTGTAGCACGTGGTGCCTGAGCTGTAGCTGCCTTTGCTGCCTTTTCCCCTGCTGCCATTCTGGTTATTTTCTGTTCTGTTCTTGTACTGTTTGGTTTTTTTTCTCTCCCTGCTCTGCCTTGGCTGCTCTCTCCACTCTGGTTCTCCAAGGGGAGATCTGCCCCAGCACGGCCACGCACACGCCAGGCCATCCCCAAGGCACAGGTGGGTCTCTCCCCTGCAGTCCTTCCTCCTCCACTGCTCCTCAATTCTTTCCTCTCACAGCAGGTATCACTTGAAAGCTGAACACCCTGCAGGGCTTTGAACACCACAGAGTCAGCAGGAGTCAGGGAGTTGATTTTTGTCAGCCCCGTGAAGCGAGGGGGGAGTTGGCAATGAAGGGAATGGAGCAGCCACAGCCTGGCAAAGAGGGGAGCTGCTGGGGAGAGCCCTGGGGGCTGTCAGCTCCACGAGGCACCTGAGCTCTGGGCTTTGCTTTTTGGAAGGCCAGAGCAAGCCCAAATCTGGCTCCACAGCAGGCCAGAGGAGCCACCTTCCCCATAGCCCCCGGGGGGTGATGGCACAGGGTGCAGGAGGGGAAGGAACTTGGTGCCAGCCAGTGGTGCCATCCTTCTGAGCTGGCAAAGGTGCCTCGCCAGCCAAGAACTGAGCTGGCCATGAATTCTCTTTGTTTTCCTCCAGGAGGATAGTGAGATCGACCTGGATGAAGATGATGAGGAGGAGGATGATATAGAGGATGACAGCATGGAAATCTCCCCAAGCAAATCCAGTCACCGAGCAAGGAAGCCAGAGCCACTAGAGGAAAGTGATAATGACTTCTGACCCTTCAGCAGCAGGACCAGGAGGTGTCTGGAAGCACAAACTTTGGAGAGCCTGCAGGCCAGGAGGTGATATCCTGCTGTTTGAAAAGCACTTGGCAGCAGCAATTCAGGAGTGGGTAAATAATGTTCATTAAACCTGAAAATTAAACTTGGATTCCCTGTCCTGTGCCTCTGAAAGGAGGAGGAGTTTATCCAGGGTGAGAATCACAGGAATGTGGAGGGGAGTTGTTTCTGTAATTGGGACTGGCCCTCGTGCACTGCAGGGCCAAAAACTGGCCTCAATTTCTCTGTGTTTTATGTCCAAACAGATCTGGTTTGGCTGCATGAAATGGGATGAAAAGCTGCTCTGGGAAGACACTTAAATTGATTTTGAATCTGGTGTGGGAAACTAGTGCAGGGGTCCTCACACAGCACCTTCAGTGCTTAGAACTTCAGCTGCCTGGCTGGGAATTGTTCTCAGACTTCACTGGGCTGGGCTGAAGCCACGTGAAATTACCCCATTGATGGTACCACTGCCTCTGGGGTGGACTGAGCTTTAGGGACTCAGGTGGGCCAAGAGCTGGGCTTCTGTGCAGCAGGGTGCCACCAGCAGGAGTGTGTTTTGGGGAACACAAAGGCTGGAGTTTGTCTAGTGTGTGACCTCTTTTCTTTTAGCTCTGCTTGAGCATCATGATTTGACTTCAGGAGAGCAGAAATCAGTGCTTGATGAGAAGAGTTCCTTTTGGTGGTGTCCATCAGCACAGACAAGAGCCTGGGCTGCTGGCTGAGGTTAAAAAAGGAAAGAGCAGGACAAGTACCTTGCTTCCATCCCATCTGAAGTCTAGAGGCAGGTCCACCCCCTGCATTACTGTGCTGGAGGGAAGAATACGTGTGAGTTCCTTGAAAAAGCCAAGAGCATTTTTATTGCTGCATCTCTGGCCCCAGGGGTGGAACTGTCACACCCAGGGCACTTCCCCACCAGCAGAGCTCTGAGCTTGAGGTGTCACCTCAAGCTGGGACGAAGGTTTACAGGGAAATACAAGGCAGGTTTTGAGGAGTCGTGGGTGGAAAGCTGACTGATGAACCCTTCTGTGTGTGCAGAAGCAGGGCTCCTTCAGGCAGGGCTGCACCTAGCCTGGCAGCCCAGCCAGGTGGCCCTTAAGGTGGCCATGGTGGCATCATGGCTTCTGGTACCAGGCTTGAAGAGCAGTGCTCTTGGCAGCCACCCCAGCACCACATGGGAGTGCACCTTGTGAGCACTCAAGCTTTCAGCTCAGAGGGGGCTGTGTACCTAGAATCATGGGATGCTTTGGTTGGAAGAGACCTTTAAGATCATCAAATCCATCCCCCCTTCCCCCAGCACTGCCAGGTCCCCACTGCCCCATGTCCCTCACACCACATCTCCACAGCTTGGAACCCCCTCCAGGGGTGGGGACTCCACCACTGCCCTGGGCAGCCTGGCACAGCCCTGGGCAACCCTCCAGGGCAAGAAATTGTTCCTCAGGGACAACTGAAACCTCCCCTGGGGCAGCTTGAGGCTGTTCCCTCTTGTCCTGTCCCTTGTTCCTTGGGAGCAGAGCCCGACCCCCCCCTGGCTCCAGGCTCCTGTCAGGAGCTGTGCAGAGCCAGAAGGTCTCCCCTGAGCCTCCTTTGCTCCAGGCTCAGCACCCCCAGCTCCCTCAGCTGCTCCTCCCCACACTTGGGCTCTAGACCCTTCCCCAGCTTTGTTGCCCTTCTCTGGCCACGCTCCAGCCCCTCCAGGTCCTTCTTGGGGTGAGGGCCCCAAACCTGCACCCAGGATTTGTAGTATACATATGCTGACAGGTCAATTAAATGTATTTCAATGTATGTCCTTATCCCCCAGTTTTCTGGACCTGCAGGGCACAGGGGCTGCCTTGGGGTTGTTGATTTCTCTCCCCATTGGTGTTGCAGGGTTAGGCACAAGCTTTGGCCAGAGCTGGACCCAGAGCCTCAATCTTCCTGGAAATAGCAGTGTGAGAGGTAGGACTTGAGTCCCTGAGGGTGTCTGGATCCTGTGGGAGAGCACACACCAGCCCCTGACACCTCATGGAAGAGCCCCGAGCCCCCTTCTCACACCCGTGCAGGGCGTGGGGGCTCCAGCTGGGGCAGTGGAGCACAGCTGAACCCCAAACGTGATGTGTAATCACCCACAGCCAAGAGAGGAAGGCAGACAAGGCATCTTCTCAGCTGGGAACTGCTTTATTTATTTCCCAGGGTGCAGACCCCCCCCAGCTCAGCCCCCCCGTTCTCCAGGATCAGCCCCTGCTGGTCCCCCAGTGCAGCAGCATCACGGCCTGGTGGGGGCTCTGGTGGAGTGGGGAGAGGGGGCAGTGGCTGGAGGGGACTGGGGGGGGATTGCACAGTTTGGCTGCTGGGCCACCTGCCAACCTGGCACCTTCTGGAGGGTCACTGGATCTGTGCCACGCACCCCTGGGCGTCACCTGGCACCTAAAGGTGACCTGCTAGGGATGGATGGACCCCTTGGACATTGGGAAGCCACATCCCATGGCCACACTTCTTGTCACTGATGACAAGAGCAGGAGACCCAACAAGTCCAATGTGAGCTGGGGAGGCAGAACTTCATGTTAAGGCAGTGCCCGTGGAGCAGCAGGACACGTGTGGTGGAGATGGGCCACCCTCGTGCAGGACTGTTCCTCTCATCCACCCTTCCACTCCTCCTCCCAAAGGACCTTCCCAGGTCTTTCTGGATGGTTCCACTCCTGTGCCTGTCTCCTTGGCCAAATGCTTCAGGAGTGCTTGGCCAGCACCAGCCTTAGTGAGGGCATGGCAAAGAGCAGAGGTCCAAAGCACGGCTCTCATCTGAGCAGGGAGGCAGCAAACCTCCCCCCTCACTCTGGGCTTTCCAGGGGAGCCTGCAGGCTGTGTAGAGCCAGGTGGAAAGGGGCTGTGAACCCCCTGGAGATCACAGGAGGAGCCACCATTGCCAGGTAAGTCCCCCACCCAACCAAGAAGGGCTGGTGGCTTGTGGGATCTGTCCCCCCCTCCCTCCTTTTTTCCTTGAAGCTCCCCCAGGGCCTGGATGAGCGCAGACGTGGGCGTAGATCCCTCAGCTTCCAACACGAGCAAGTCTTGGCCCTCCAGAGGCCCCAGGTCCTCCTGGGCCGTGCCAGGGAGCTCAGGAGCTCTCCTCAGCCCAGCTCTCCTCCCGGGGGAGGCCCCGGCAGCCCCCTCGGGGGCAGGCTGGCCAGAGGGAGCCACGGGGCCACCTCCTGGCTGCAGCCAGGCAGCCTCACACGTCCACCACGCAGTGGGGCGAGCTGCTCCGGATGGCCTCGGAGATCATCCTGGCTCCCGAGCGGCCGATGAGGTTCCCCTGCAGGCTGGGAGCAGAGGGGAGAGGAGCTCAGGCCTGGACACCAAGCAGGGCAGGGTTCTGAGCAGGCACAAGAGATGCTCTCCAGCTTTGCACCAGCATCGTCTGCGCCCTCCCCGTGCCACCCAGGGGATCTCGATGGGACCTCGGCCACGGGGGACGGGGTTTGAGAGCCCAGAGGCAGCCAGGTGAGGAGCTGGAGGGGCTGAGCCAGCCCATCCCTGTGGTGGTTTGGAGAGAGAATCATAGAACCATGGACAGGTTTGGGTGGGGAGGGACCTTTCAAGGTCATCCAACCCCCTGCAGGGAGCAGGGACATCCCCAACTAGAGCAGGGTGCTCAGAGCCCCTGGGATGGTTCCAGGGCTGGGGCAGCGACCACCTCTCTGGGCAACCTCCCTCAGCAGCAAACATTTCTTCTCTCCAGTCTAAATCTCCCTCTTTGAGTTTAAAATCACTCTTTGCCTTTCGGGGTGGTTCCTTGCCCCAGAGGGCAGGAGCACAGGGTGCTTTCCACTGGGGAGATCCCTGCAGGGCAGCCAGGAACGGGCAGTGCCAGGGCTGGGGAGGGTCCTGGATGGTTCCC